ACTTGTTATATAATGGTCTCTTTATATTTGATGTTTTTTTCATGTTCTGAAGTCTGTTTTGTCTGAGATGAATAGAGGAACCAACTTTATTTGATTAGTATCTGCTAACTTTTTTGACTGATGTTTTTGTGTTTATGGAGAGTTTATCATAGGCAACATATAGTTGAGTTGTACTTTTTTATTTGATCTGAAAAATTCTGCCTTTAATTGATGTACTTCGTTTGTCCACATTTATGGTGATTATTCATATGGTAGGCTTTAAATCTAGCATCTTGTTAGCTGCTTTCTAATAATTTAATTCATTGTTTCTTTCCCCCACTTTTCTATCTTCTCTTATGTTAACTGAGCATTTTTTATCATTCCAGTCAATCTTCTCCATGCCCCCTTTTTAAACAATTCAGTGGTTACCATCGTGTTTATGACATTTTAATTAAAATATTAATTTAAAAATATTAAAATAATCACATATTACATCATGAATAGGAAAATGACCCAATGGCAGTATATTCCCAATTTTTACCTCTTAGCTTTTGTATTATTTTTGTTGTAAATTTCAAATCCACATATGTTAGTATCAAAGAGAAATGTTATTTTTTAGACATTTGTGTTTTAAAGCAATTAAAAACAAAGAAAATAAATTTTCTGAATCTTCATTTCATTTACAACATTACTTTGTTGTGTAGCTCTAAGATTATTCTGATACAGTTCTTTTGCCTAAAGAATGCCCTTTAACACTTCTCAGTCAGAGTAGGTCTGCTAGGGACAAATTCCTTAAGTGTTAGTTATTTCAGAAAATATTTATTTCTTCATGATTTCCAATGATAGTTCCACTGGGTATAGAATTTGGGTTGACATGTTTTTAATCTTTCATTTTCCAGTCATTTTGAAGTTACCATTTCATTTTCCTCTTGTTTGCAAATTACTTGATCAGATGCCTGCTGTAATTCTCATCTCCCCACCTCTGTTTATGTATATGCCTCTTTCTTTGACTCTGTTCAGAATTTTCTCCCTGACTTTGCAATTTATTTGAACACACACACACACAAACACACACACACACAAACACACACACACAACTTTTGTTATTGACATTGTTTGATTGACCCTATTCTCTGAGCTTCTTGGACCTGTAAGTTGGTATCCATGGTAATTTTGGACATTATTTCCTCAAAATTATTTTGCCCTTTACTCTATTGTCCTTCTGGGGATTGCAACTGCTTATATATTATATTACTTGATATTGCCCCACATTTCTCGGAAGCTCAGTTCCATTTTTCATATCTCTCTCTTTGATGTTTTTCTTTGTTTCCTTTGGATAATTAAATGACCTATCTATAAGTTCACTGATTCTTTCCCCAGCTATCTCGAGTCCACAGATGAGCCCCTAGGAGGTCTACCTCACCTTTGTTACTGTGTTTTGTTTTTAAGCATTTCCACTGATTGTTAGAATTTCATCCTCTGCAAAAACTAATTATTTGATCCTGCATGTTGTCAACCTTTTCATTATAAACTTTAATGTATTAATCACAGTAATTTAAAATTCCCTGTCTAACACTTCCAATATCTCTGGCATGTCTAAATTTGGTTTTGATGATTGCTCCATGTGTTTCTTTCTTTGCCTTTTCACATGCCTTATAACTTTTTATAGAAAGCTGGACATCTTTTGTAGGGTGAGAGAGAGGTAATATTTTTATACTTTCAGATGTGTGCACCTTTTCTTCTCCTAGACCTTTAGTGTGGGCGTATGTTAATCTAGTCAGGAGTGTACTAAATACACAGGGTTTGAGGTCTGTGGTTGCTATGGTTATCCTCAGTAAAACAGAGACTTCAAGTTCTTCTAGTGATACCTTATGTTTAGGGATTTAACTGGTTTTCCAGATGTCTGTCTGCTTCCTTTGCCCTGACTTTTGAGTCTTTCTTTTGTGCTGCACCACAGAGATAATCTGTTTCTTCAAGCTTTTGCAGATACATTCCATTGTTATTTTTACCCAGTGCTTGCTAGCCAGTGTGGGAGGAGCGTGGGAGGGTGCATTTCTGATGATGTGATTAATTTTCAGTCTTAGGCAGTACTCTGTCTCTTGGTCTCCTGGTGTGGACTTCACAAATGTTCCTGCCCCTCCAGCTACAACACTGGGCCTGTGTGAGCTGGTATTACTTTCCCTCCCCAAACCTAGGGCTTATTTTGATCCTATTTCCTTTCCTCAGTTGCAATGGATTTCCACCTGTGCCCTAAGGCAACAGCTTTTGTTTTTCTTTGTTCTTCTGCAGATTAAGGTTTATGGTCTGTATACAGGAGATTGGTCTGGGTGGAATTTTTGCAATGGGCAGTACCTCTTCCCTAGACAGCACCACAGGGATGTTTTCTCAGGTATTTCTCTCATCTTTCCTGTGAATGCCTGTGGTTTGGGCAGAAAAAAACTCTGAAACTTTGTAAGATCATATGTTTATTCATAGACGCTTACATTTTTACATCTCTCCTAGACACGTAAACAGTCAGGTTCAATTTCTCCCTGCAGATTCCTGGCTTTTCCACAATTCAGGTTATTTGCTTGCACTGTGATGTTGGTTCTCTGATGGGCCTTGTAGAGAGAGACAACTGGGCCTCAGTCATCTCATCTGTGAAAGAGCAAATCCCTTCCAACCTCACAGTTTTACCAATAAGAAATGTGCTTGCTGCCCTCAGATTTTTGCTGTTGAGAAAACAGCTGCAAGATGGTGAAGGGGTCTGTGTCATGTGACCCCTAGTGAGCCTCCGAGTGGCAGCTTCCAGAGAGAACCCTGGAGCCCCCGCCTTTCCTGTGTGTCCTCTGAGGATGAAAGTGTTAATGTCTGAGCTGCTCTGACGGTGACCATGCTGCCTGTTTGTCACCTCCTTGCCCAAGATTAATTCAGTTTGGTAAAGTGGTATTTACACTGCAAATTTAATTGTCATTTCTGATGATAAAGGAATTGAAAAATAAATTGAAAGTGTCAGACAATGCATTAGGGTGGGTGATGGAGTGGAAGCGAAGGCCTCCCAAGTGTCATCCCCACTGGTTGATTTCCAGACCCACACAATTAGCCAGGTTATGGATTCGTTATTGTAGGATCCAGATTCAGGCATGATGGGTGCAAGGGGTGGGGACAAGGGAGCAGGAGAGGGCCCATGAGTCCCCAGTGGATTAGATGCACTTGGCAACTGGTTGAGTCCTCACACTGGTTCTCTGACATATGGAATTAGAGATACTATGTGGGAAAGGCCAAGTTGAAACCAATAAAACCTCCCCAATCTGGGAAAACCGTAAACCAGAGATTAGTGCTACCACCAAGACTTGAAAGATGCAAGGATGGTGGCCCCCACCAATCTCTATTCAGCTCACCCACTTGTCCTGTGCAGAAGACTTAGATTTTGGAAAAATGACAATGGATCATCATAAGCTTAAGTTGGTGGTGACTCCTATTACAACCACTATGCCAGAGTGACAGGGACTTGGGTGCTCAGGGAGCTTGTCCTGTGAGTGAGCTCCTGAGTAAAGTGTGGATGTGCCCATCTCTCCTTTACAAGGGGTGCGTGAGTGTCCACCCTCACAGCAGGGTGTAACGTCCATGAAATAGCTCTTCATTGGCCAGTTGCCGCGCACTGGGCCTGTTCCGGCAGTTCTATGTCTGCTAACAGCCACCTCTCAGCACGTCTTAACACTGGGCATCACTTCCTCACATATCTCATTCGAGAGTGGAAGCCTGCGAAGTGAAGCCACTGGCTCACAGTCACATGGGGTGTGCTGAGGGTGGGATCTGAACACAGATCATCAGCTCAGTGCTGACCTATAACCATGGTGCTGCTCTACAGAGACCCTGCTGACCTCCAGCGTGGGCACCCTTGTCCTCATTTGACAAGTGAGGGGACCAAGGCTAAGAGGAGGGGAGTGGCCCATCCACGATCAGTGGAAAGTCCCGTGGTGGAATCTGTATAGAAGGTGGGAAGATAGGGGTGGGTGGATCTGTAGAAGGCAGTGTTTGCAGGGGCAGGCACGAGATATGGGCTCAGGAGGCAGACAATCATGTGAAAGTATCCCTGAACAGGGTGATGGGGTACAAGTACCAGCCTACTTCTAGGGGGCAGCTTCTAGCTGCCCCCTACTGTCGCTGCCATATTGTCACTGCCCTGGTCCATTAGACGAAGAAGTGGGTCTCAAACCAGGAGGGGGACAGTGGGCTATCAATTGGGGTCTTAAGCATTACACATGACCAGCTCCTAGATGGCACTGGGGGGCTGGATGGGGACCTCCTTTCCAGGTTGCAGCCCACAGCCCCAAGCCCTGCCTTCTGCCCAAGGACAGGATCCCTGCAGAGGGCTCCTGGGCCCTGAGCCAAGTACCAGAGGCTTCCATCTGGGCCCTGCCTGGACCTCAGGACCCCAGTCCTCATCACTTAGAGTCCTGCCCTGTGATCTGTGCAGTAATTGCACTGTCCACCTGCCACCCCTGGGTGGACGAATATTAATGGTTCTGCGTGAGAGACACAGTCACTGCCCAGGGGAGCAGAAGAGAATGAGACCAGGAGTGGGAAACTAACAACCAGGAGGTGGGGGACCTGCCACCTTCCAGGTCCCCAGCTGCCCTCTAGAAGCAGGCTGGTACCTGCACCCCATTACCCAGTTCACAGATACTTTCACACCACTGTCTGCCTCCTGAGCCCATGTCTTGTGCCTGCCCCTGCAAAGCACTGCCAGGCCTGGCCACTCCATCTCTCCCCTTCACCGTGCATGGACAGAAGCAGAGGCTCACAGGCGTGCTGTTGAAGGCATCATGAGTTCACATGCGCGTCCATATGACACCTGCTCACAGACACACATAGTACACACACCTCATGCACATCACACACACACGTGACGTGTCACAAACATGTCATCACCCACATTCACTCCCACCCTCTGACTGTCACCCCTCTCTGGGGTCACCTCTTTCTAACTCTTGCTTCTAGGTGTGCTATGAAATCCACCATCAGATTTAAAGCTCAAAGGCAAGCTTTAAAGCGGAGCTGAATGTCATTTTAATCATCTATGGCAGGAACCCAATTTCCCAGGTGATAATTACAATAATTAAAAATTTTGTTATCAGAATGGCGAGGGGGAGGCACTCACTGCCAAGTACAGGACAGGGAGCAGGGAGGGTGTCGAGGCGGAGACCAGCTCCAAATGCACCTCTAATTCTTTCCAAATGCAACCCCTGGTAACTCTGCAGGAGGTGGTAGGGATGGGGTTTTGGGAGGAAAGAGGTGGGGGAGCTCAGGTCAGGAAGTTCAGGAAGCATCTGGTCCCCCCCTGGGGGTGCAGGTGAGGGCAATGGTCCTTCAGGGCCACACTTGCTCCTGCCCTCCATCCCAGGTGGCCCAGGACCCAACTTGGGGTGCTGCTCTTTTCTCCACATTTCTTCTATTTCCTGCCTCACTCCCAGCAGATCTGTAGATCCAGATTGAAGGTTTGATTTATAAGCTTCTGGGGAAGGACGGCGCCTGACTGCACCTGCAATGACTAAGAGGTATGGTGATTTACACAGCTGGGAAATGTTTGTTTCTCGGGAGGGATCATCTCAGTCCCTCCTCCTCGAAGGCTGGATTTACTGAGGGGCCTGGGTGTGAACGCTTAGCCCCCATGGTCAAGATGTGTGGCCTTGGGCAGGACACTGAACTTCTCCAGACCTAAATTTCCTCCTTTGCCAAATGGGAACAACTGCATTTGTCCCAGAATGTGATGAGGTTTAGATGAAAAGATGAAGGGCTGGTAGAGGTGCTCAGCAGGCCTGAATTCTCCCCTCTAATGCATTGGCGTCTCCCCTGATCAGACCACCTCCTCCGGGGCTCCCTGCCAGATTTCCCCAGGCTCCCTTCCCTGCACAGACTTCTTTCCCTCCTCTTCCTGGAGCTCTTGCTCTTCTCCTAGGTTCAGCCTCCACCATGGCTGGCAGGAAAGGCTGCGCCTGAGGCTCCGCTGGCAGGAGCAGACTGGTGACTGCGGTGCACCCAGGATGCCAGGCACAGATGGCGGCTCAGATGCCCAGGGATTATTTAGAGTGCAGCCGCTTCCCTGCTAATGAGTTAAAAAATCTTGCTGTTGGAAAGGGCCCCTGGCAGAGTAAGGGGCCTCTGGGCCTGGAGTTCTACTGTGATGTAAGGGGTCAGTGGGATTCTTTAGCATGTCTGACTTCTAAACAAGGAAGGAGGGAACAGCAGGGGTGCTGGCTTGTTAGATGACCCAGGGTCTGACTGGTCTGGGGCAGGGCTGGGCTCAGAACCCTCATCTGTAAAATGGGGTTAATAATAGTATACCCCTCCTAGGCTGCCTGGAAGATTAAATCAGCAGACACTGCAAAGTCTCACGACCGAGGGCACACAGAACACTTTGAAAGTTAGTGTCTTCGTGCTTGCTTGCTGCTGTTCCTTCAATGTCATTGTGAGCGTATTTGTTAGAAGCTCCTCCAGACTTCTGCAGGCCACCTGTTGGCCCCCATGGTCTCTAAAAGGTCTCCTGGTTTCCTCTGGGGTCTACCCTACCCAGGATGATCTCAAATTTCTCTTATTGACAAAACACAAGGAGGCTTCTCCATGCCCCAGGGTGGAGGGGGGGTCCCATCATCACCACAGTGTGGGTGCAAGGCCTTGCAGGGCTGACTCTCTCTCTACCTCCTCCCTGAATGGCCACATTGTCTCAAGGAACTTGCACTTTGTTAGCCCAGTTTGCAGTTGTATTAGGGGAGGTGTGTTTTCTGCCAGTTCCAGCCAATCAATAATCAATGCTGTGGTCGGATGGGGCCTTGAGGTTCTTATTATAGTTGCTAGATACCCTTCAGCAATATCCATCAGGAAACCCTGAAAAAAGAGAAGTTTATTACTTTTAAGACCTGAAAATTACACAGCACACCTAGGGTCACATAGTAGGTTTACAGGGACTGGGAGGCGGGGGTGAGAGAGACAGAGAGAGGGAGATTGTTGAATGTAGAACATCGGAGCAGGAATTTAAAGCATGAGATGAGAAAGAAAGAGAAAACACGAGTGGCCCCAATGACCATTTATCTAAATCATCCAGAATTTGGAAAGCAAAGGAGCTTCAGTGCAGGGAGGCAGCCTGGCTCGTTATCTGTCTACTCCTGTTGCTAGTGATGTGTTGGAGCTGGTCCTTGTTGCCACGAATGCCTTGGTATCAAAGCTTATGTCAGGCACTTGCATTCCAAAAAATAGCCAGCTGGCAGGGTTTACCCTGGTGGGGGAGGGGATGTCTTTGATTGCAACCTCCCCCCTCCACACACGCCACTATGCATCAGAGTCCCCGCAGGACCTTCTGCGTCTGTCTTGGAAGAGTGATCACTGCAAGATGGAGCCTGGGATAGCCCCATGCTCTCCTCTGTCCCTGTTCATTTATGTTGAACTAGTTGATAAAATTTTAAAATGTGAAGATTTTCTATAAAATAACACCAGAGAAGCTGACGTTCCACCCAGTAACAGTCACTAGAGCTGAGATGCAATGGCCCTTGTAGGTGGACCCTGGCTCTTCACGGTGCTTACAGCTTACACCTGTCACCTGCTTGGCCCCGGGCATTCCTGGGGCTTGTGAGTCTGCTGCAGAGACCCCAGCCTGCCTTCTGCACAGATGAGTCATGTGAACCTAAGAACGAACAGTGCATCATGTGTCCACTCCTCTAGGGTGTCAGGTCTGCACGGGAAGGGCCATGTGTCTGTTTTAGTCACTGCTGTATCCCCCAAACCCTGAGCAGAGCCTGGCACACTCGATAAATGTTTGCTGTGTGTTAAAATTCTTGAGTTCACCCAGGAAATTCTAGGCAGAGCCAGGTTGGAAAGAATTCCTGTCCAGTTGTTCTTCTCCTGGTTTGATCAGATCTCAAGGGGTTTACCTCCTTCCCTCCCCCATAAACACACACATACTTATTGACTCAACTCAGATGCTTTTAAAATTCAACCCAGATTAACCTGAAGAGAAAGTGAGTTTTCTGCAGAAACCATCACTTACCACTGTGGTTTTTGAGTTTTAGCAACGTTTATTTTTAGCATTAATGAAATACAGTGTGGCACCTTGGTGGTATGGGCTGTGCTGTAGAGAAGAGTGGTGCGGGCAGACCTGAGCTGGTGTGGGCAGACTTGAGCTCAAACTCCGAATCTGTGGCATCCTGCCCATGTGGCTTTGGACATGTCACTTTTCTGAGCCTCAATTTTCTCAGATATAAAATGGGGATAAAAACAACATCCAATGCATCCAGTCATGTGGGTAACACAAGATAATCCAGGTAAGTCTCCAGCCCCGTGCCCAGCTCAGCATGGCCGGTGCTGCTGTCGTCACTAACTCGGCTGATCCACGACTCGCAGAGGAAAGACACAGTGGGCAGTGGATTGCTTTCCCATGATGTTTTCCAAGGAATCTCTCTGTCATCCTGATCCCAGCAGCACACACATAGAACGAAATAGTCATCCTTGTGCGCCAGGCTAATTATCTGTCTGCAGACAGTGCTTGGTACAGAGATAAATTTGGGGACCCCTTGCAATGGCCACCCCCAGAAGTTTTGGACCTTGGTTAAAATAACTAGAATTTCTGAGCCTCACAGTCATGGTGAGGGGCAGAAACCCCTCCCAGCCTCGCCCTGCCTCCTGCACACTGCAAACAGGTCCCAGGCCCCGACAACCCAGGTCCTTCTCCCCTTCCTCACCCCAGGCCCCGTGCACTAGAAGCTGAGTTTGTGGTGCTCTTTCTTCCCAACAAATACCTTATTGCCTGCTGGGATGGGCAGAGATGATGGTTGTAATAAAACAGGTTCATCACACCTGTACACAAAGCCATTTAATGAACATGCAGCCAAAGGCACGAAGGCCTCGGAGCCAAATGCAAATGAAACCTGCTCCACAGTAAAATTTAACTGTGGGGAGAAGGTGGATAGAAGGAGGGGATAGTATGGGAGGTGCTGAGAGAGGGAGGATGGGAGGTGCTGAGAGAGGGAGGATGTCGGGGGGTCATAGAGAGAGGGGGCAGGAAAAGGGGAGAGTGAAGGAAGGCCTGTGCAAGGAAGGGGGAGAGAAAGTGGGGGCCCCTTCGTGTGGAAGACTGGGCTGGGTGGCTTCATGCTCCCCATTCCACAAGCGAGGACACCAAGACCCACTGCATCACCATGGGGAGACCGTCAGGGGTGAGGAAGCAGGTCTTGTGTCTGGGGGAGTACCCAGGCCCTGAGCAAGTAATCACACTGCTAATAGATGTAAGTCCTGGCAAACTGTGTGATGGGTGTAAGATGGTTGCGTGATTATTGTAAGAAGGTGAATAGCCTTCCATGAGGGTGGGTTTGAATCTGGCCCTACTGCATCCAGGCCAAGACCTTGAGCAAGTTGCTTGACCTCACTAGGTCTTGGTTCTTCTGCTTAGAAAACTGGGATGATTAAGGAACTATCCATTGGGGATATTATGAGCATTAAGTTTAATACACGTAAAACACACAGTCTGGTCTATAGGAAATGCCCAGGAAATATTAACTCTCACTATACTAAGAACGCAAAAGGGAAAGGAAATATTGAAGGGTCCTGGTTTAAATCAGCAGGTCAGCGAGGTCCACCTGAGTAGGTGCTCTGGGCTGACACCTGGGCGGAAGCTAGCCAAGGGCGGGGAGAGAAGCCAGGGCCTCTCTTTGGCTTTGACTGCTTGCTGAGCGTCCTGTATTTCTCCCAAGTCAGCACACCCTAGATCCGCTTTGGGAAACAGTGCCCCCACTTCATGTCAGTCCACAGCCCTGGGGCTGGCCCTAAGATCCTGTTCCCAAGTGGACACACTACCCAACCTGGGTAACTGAATTCTCCTGGTTCAGAGGTGAGTACCATCTGGGCCAGGTCCTGCGGGGCCTACGCTAATGTCTCCTCCTGCCTCTAGTGTACCTGGAACCTGCAGTAGTCCAGACACAGGTTTGTGTCTCATCCCTGGGGTGGCCCACGCTGCCCTACCCGCCCTGGGAGGCTGGAGTATCGAGTTGAGGAAGCAAATGCTGTCACTAAGCGAGCCTGGGGGTGAACAGGCTAGGTTCTTATAGGCCTTGTTCGGGATTTTGCTTTTTCTTCTGAAGACTATGTGGAGCCATTGATAAGTTTTAAGCGAGGAGCTGACACAGCCAGATGGGGATTTATGGGGCCCAGACTGGAGACCAGGAGACCACGGAGGAGGCTGGAGGGTTCAGGTGAGAGATAATGGAGGCTAAGCAAGGTGACAGGAAGCCCCTTTCCACCACATGGGTCCTTCCTTCTCAGGATCCGTCACGTTCTAAATCTTGTTTGTTAGTATTTTTTCCCCACTGCCATTGCTTGTCTCTTTTGATGCAATTTCAGCAACAAGGAGCCAGAGACTGCTTGTTTGCCACTGTATCTCCGGCAGCCTCAGCCCCTTGGTGACCACAGGAGGGCTGGGGTGGGGAGACTGCAGGTGTCAAATATGTCTGTCATGGAGGAGAATTTTAGGGTGCAGCAATGGAGGACACCAGGGGTTGGCCTGGACATCACTCTCCTGCTACAGGTCAGGGCCGGTCCAGGCTTGGGCAGTGAGCCTGCCGGTGGGGCTAAGTGGGCCCCGCAGTGGGAGGAGAGGCAGAGGCAGCCTGTCTGAGGCTCTCAGGCAGTGGTGACTCTGATGGTGACCTACATCCATTACGACGCCAGGGTGAGTGGCGGCCGGCCAGATGCCAGCCCCTCTCAGAGTCTCTGAACTTCTTGGCCTGAGTTTGGCTTACTGGAATTATTCCCTCCTCCACCATCCTTTCTGTGGCATATGAAAGGTGGTGATTTAGGACATGCGTTTAGAGAGAGATGAGTAAGTGGTCATCTGGGAGGCCGGCTCATGGCCCAGACACCAAGTTCGGGCTCAGATCTGTGGCCACAGGCGTTTAGGTTAGGAGAGAGTTGGGGACAAGGGCGAGATATTGAGCGGGACTTGGTGACAGAGAGAGCAGGTGACAAGGAGGGAGAAGCAGAGAAAGGGGAGGTTGGGGGAGGCCTGGGGACACGGCCCTGTGGCCCTTCCTCACCAGGCCGGCCCTGGAGAGCATGTTGGGGGGCCGGGAGCGTTTGGGCCTCAAATGGTCCCCACTTCTCTGTAGTTCATATTCTCAGAGAAAAGAAATCACTCTCCATCCAATTAATCTAATTGGACGTAATCAAGTTGTGGAGATCTGTGCAGTGGGGTGAGTGATTAGGAAAAATTACCTCCCTGCAAAGAGTTTAAATTTAATTTTCATTCCATAATCTAAAGTCCAAAGAAAGAATGGGCTTCCCGCTCCTGCTATGTCCAGTGAATGATCAGTGAGTTCTCCAAGAAGGAGGCATCTCCGTGACAGCGTCACCAAGGTCGCAAGGTGACTGCGGACACAGCTTAGGACACCACGCCCTGCCACCCCCACTCCAGGGGCAGCGGGCAGTCCAGAAGCCTGGGCTATCCCGGCTCTGCACCTGCAGAAGGTGTGACCTGTGGCACTTTCCTGTCAACCTGTGCCCTTACCTGTAGCAGTGAGAGCTCTCATTGACCTGGGGACCCCTTCCTGCCATGCAATGCGGAATCCAATTTTCTCTCTCATTCTCTCTTCTACCTTTAAATTCAGAAAACTGGGAAAAAAGAGTCTGGGAGGTGGTGGTCCAAGGGTTGGTAAGGTGGCCTCCTTATCAGCGAGGGGAAACCTGCAAACCAGGACTCCCCCAGCCCCGGGTCAGGGCCCAGAGGCCACGGAGGTGGAGGTGGGGGCAGGTGCTGTGCTGCTGCCAGGTTCCCCTGCCATTCAGGCTGGGGCACAGGATTTATCACCCAGTGCCAGTCTCAGAGCCTGGCCTCACCGCCTGCCACCCAGGACTAGCAGCACCATCTGCTCCTGGAATATTTCTCTGAGAATTTGGGCATCGAGAGAGCAGCCTGGGCAAGACAAGAGAAAAGAGCATCTGGAGCCAGCAGGCCAAAGACGGATTAATTCATGCCCTCTGGCTCCTCAGTGAGAGCTGGGCCCTGAGGACAGTTAGGGAAAGGAGGTGGACAGAGGGTGGGTGAGGGGACTTGAGTCCCAGGTGGGAGCACAGCCTGGGGGAAACAGAGCATGTCACTGAGGCACCGTGACTAAGCACCCCGTGTGTCACTTAGGGGGGGATAGCGTCCTGCAAGGACTGAGGGTCCTCATGTCAGTGAGGAGAGACAGGGCCCCGAGTGACATAGGCTACTGCTGTGCTGCTCCCTGTCTTGCTCCCTTCTCTGCACAGCTGTGAGACCCAGTTGTATGGCCAGAAGGCTCCAGGTTAAAGGCTCCATTCCTCCCCCTGCGGAGGGGTTTAAAGTGCTCTGGGTGCAGGTAATAGGGCTGGGGTAGATCTGGGAGTCTGGCCCGTCTCTGAATCTCAGCCGCTGACTCACTGACGTGAGCAGCCTCCTCCAGGTGCCTGAGCCTCAGGTTCCTCATCCTCCCAATAAGGAGAGGAGCCTGCCAGGACCCCATGTGGGCTCCTCTGGGACCCACCTGGGGGGTGAGGGAGTCGCATCTGCAGGAGCTCAGTGGACCTTTGTTTCTCTGCAGCTCCTACACGGCCCATTTTCAAGTCAGTGCCCCCTAATAGTGATTAACCTGGTGAGATAGTGAGAGCTTGTATTTGCATCTAAGTCTCATGGCATCAAAACATACAACTAGTGGGCAATTGAACAAGTAGAAGCCTAGTTGGGTGAATCTATGGGAGGTTTGACTGTCAGACATCTGGGAGAACTTCCCAGATGGGAAGGCAGGCCTGGGACTGGCTCCAGGTAGAGTGTGTATGTGGATGTGTGTGTGTGGATGTAGCTCCAGCACAGTGCTGGGCGCTAGGTAATAGCAGTTCCCTCCCCTCTGTCAGCTCATGCAAATCACCTATTCCCCTCTGTCCCTAGGGGAGGCCTCCCTACCTGGTTCCAGGCCATGGACATGTCACCCCATCTTGGAGAAGACCATTAGGCTCTCCTTGCTGTGAAACATAGACCCTTGGGCCTTGGAGCATAGCTACCTGTCCAGCTCCTCTGCCCTGTAAGAACCTGGCAAAAAGAAAGGCTAAGGAAGTGACCCAAAGTCACCCAACATCCAGTGCAAACCTCCAGCCCGCCCCCACCGGCCCCCGAGCCTGGCTTTCTAACCAGCCAGGAGGGGGGTTCTCTGTCTATAAACATCAGAACTGATCTCCTCAAGGATTCCTTTTCTCCTTCATTTTCCCTCTGTCCTTACCCACTGGCTCGATGTCTGAGAAGAGCCTGGAATGGGACCCAGAGGCTCCCTGGGGTTCCAGGGAGATCTGTGATCTTAGACCCACCTGTGATCTGTGATCTTAGACCCACCTAGCCGAGGCCCTCGCCTGTGCTGGGAAGGGGAGGGTTAAATCTGAGCAGCCCTTCCTGGCTGGTGTTTAACTTGCTGTTTCTAAGGCCACCAGGAGCTGCATGGAGCAAATGTTTTCTCCCTTAATGACACTGCAGCAGATTAAGGAGGGGCCTGACTCCCAGATAGCATTAAAGAGAGGCCATTTGTTATTGAGGATGGTCTGGTCTGGCAGCTGGAATAACTTTCCCAGAGACCTGGGGGGAAGAGGGGTCCTCCCATCCCTGCCATCAGCATCCTGCCTGGCCCCCCTGGTTCCAGGGTCTGGGGAGCAGGGGGTCCAGGTACCAGACTTGGAGGACACTGAGACAGACTGAGGCCCAGTTAACATGAAAAGTCTTACAGTCCTAGTGGGCCACAGCGCACTGGACTGTGTTGTATTAAACCCCATTTGTCTCATTGGGCTGTATTAAGGTAAAGGTTGGCTTAGGGAGGGAAACTAACTTTAACCTGAAAAGGAAGGCTGCCTCCTTTTACTATTCAGCAGGATGAACCTCTGGGGGCCCTGCACAGATAGCCCCAAACTCTCTCCTTGGGTATGTGGTCCATATGTATTTGGAGGCAGGAAACAGGTGTCTGTGACTTTCCTCTAGGACTTTGGAAAAGCCACTCTCCTAACAATGACATCAACTCCAATTGCTTGAGAACCTACTATGTGCCCAGCTGATGCCAGAAGCTTCCAGTCAACTTCTTACTTAATCTTCACAACAGGTCAGTGATTCTGTCTCCATTTTAAGGCATACAGGGGGAGACTGGACTGATGCCACCCCATATCTTCCATTCTGCCCACCCCCCCCCCAGGACTGCCTCCATGTCTGGGTGGAAGCCAAGCCAGAACCTACATGTCTGCGTGTGGGTGGATTCATGTCCAAGGGTATCTCTGTGCCTAGCGGGGTGGAATTGTGTTCACAGACCTGTGAGCATCTGTACCTGGGTCCATTTCTGTGTACATACATTTCTTGTACACACAGCACAAACTCCTGGGCCTACGTGTGTCTGAGTGTGCACAGACCTGGGCATGTCTGTGTGCTCAATGTGTGTGTGTGCCCAATGCTCCCTCATCTGTTTGTGCATTTTTCTGGGTTCAGGCTTCTCTTGTGCCTGTGTCTCCATGTCTGCCTATTGTGTGTATGTTTTGAGTGGGCGTAGCTGGCTTTTCTGTGGCCTAAGAACTATGTTGCTTTCAATGTCCATTCCCATGACTATATGCAGGTGCGTATTTGTGTGACTGTTTCTGCTCTATTTCTGATGATTTATGTTTGCGTGTATTTTCTGTTACCAGTTTTTATTAATGTACGTATGTATGTTTCTGTCAATCAGTTTGAGTCTAGGGGGCTACCAGGGCCCAGGTGCATGTATTTGTGGGACTTGGTGTCTCTGAGTGTCTGTCTGAGCTGTTCATGTATCCTTGTCTATTTGTAACTCTGACCCTCTGTCTGTGTCTGCCTGTCTATCTGCATTGTGTTGATCTGTGAGTCTTTCTGTCAAGCTGCCTGTCTATTTTCTGACTTTCTCGCTACAGTTATGCGCCTTGGTATCATTCTTGCTCTGTGTGTGTGGCATGTCGTGCAGGTATCCATGTGGGTGTGTATCTGCCACTCCCTCAGGCCAGTGCAGAACTCCCCTCGCCCAGCTTGTGATGTGGAAGGGATGTTCACCATGTGATGGGCACTGCCAGCTTCCTGCCCTCCCCACCAGTGATTTGCCCTTGAACTAATTGCATGAATACAATACTGCATTCAACAACTGCAGATCGTTTCAAGTAGACATGAAACATTCACCAACAGGGACCATGTACTAGGCTATAAAACACATATCAATAGATTTAAAAGAAATGAAACCACATAGGGCATTTTCTTTGATTACAATGGAATTAGAAATCAATGACAATAATGCATCTGGAAACCACACACATATTTGGAAATTGAGCAACATATGTCTAAATAACCTGTGGATCAATGAGGAAATCACAAAAGATTAGCAAACACTTGGTATAGATGATCATAAAAATTTAACATGTCAAAATTTGTGGTCTACAACTGAAAGAGTCTTTAGAGTGAATTACAAAGGTTAAAATCCTTATATTTGAAGAAACAAAAGTTTAAAAATCAACGATCTAAGTATCTTAAGAAGCTAGGAAAAGAATAACAGAAACCAATATAATAAAACACAGGCAAATAATAAAGAAAACCAATACAGCCAGAAGCTGGTTTTCTAAAAAGATAAATAAAATGGATATCCCCCATATGGAACAAAAAGCAAGAAAGGACTAAAAGTTTCCAGTACCAGGAATGGTAAAAAAGGCATCACTAAGATAATATAGTCCTTAAAAAGATAACGAGAATAGTGTGAACAATTTAATACAAATAAATGCAACAATTTCAATGAGCCACAAAAATTTCCTGAAAAAAGACAACCAATCAAGACTTAGAGAAGAAGAAATAGAAATGCTGAATAGGTCTATGTTTGTTAAGGAAGTTGAATTTATAGCAGAAAATTTTTCCATAATTAAAAATCCAGGCTTGAGGGCCTCCCTGGTGGTACAAGGGGTTAAGCACAGTACCATGAAGCTATCTGCAGCCTCTGCAGCAAGAGTTTTATCCCTGGCTGGCCAGGGAGCTACCCACATGGCACAGCAGACCTCTCCTGTCTCGCCAGCTGCTCCCCTCAGCAGTGTATTTCAGTAGATCCACCTGTTCTGCTCTCCACTCTGTCTCTGGTGAATCCTCTAACCCCCGACACCACTGGCCTATACTCCATTTCTTGAATGCATAAATAAATAAATCTTAAAAAAAAACAACAAAACTCCAGGCTTGAATGATTCCACTTTGAATTTGAGCCAACATTTAAGGAAGAAATCATAATAATCTGCACAAATTCTTTCAGGTAATAGAAGAGGGAACACTTCTCAAGCTGTGATGAGGGCTCCATCACCTTGATATAAAACTTGAAAATAACATTAAAAAAAAAAGGAAAACAAAAAACCAATTTAACTTAGAATATTGATGCCAAAATTATTAACAAATATTAGCAATTTGAATTCAGAAATATATAAAAAGGACAATATATCACGGCCATGTGGAGGTTATCTCAATAATGCAAGGTTGGTTTATTATTTGAAAATTGATCAAATTAATTTATCACATTAACAGAATAAAAGAAAAAAACTATACACTCATCTGAATTGATGATGAAAGTGCATCTGAGAAGATTCAATATCCTTTCAGGATAAAAACTCAACAAATTAAGAATAAAAGGGAATGTGCTCAATCTTATGAAGGAAAATCTATAGATAACATTATGCTTAGTAATTAAAAACTGAACACATCACCCTTATCAGGAACAATTCAAGGATGTTAATTTAAATCACTTCTAATTAATATTTTACTGGTGGTTCTAGCCACTTTAATAAAGCAAGAAAGAAGTAAAAAGGTTAGAGTTTGTAAAACTAAAGTAAACTTCTCATTCAGAAGCAAGATAATTGCTTTGTAAGAAATCCCAAGGCAGCTACCCAAAGTTACTGGAAATAAAAACAGAATTTAACAAGGTTTCACAAAAAGTAAATGTACACAATTCAATTTATGGCATAGCAGCAAACAATGGTTAAATAAAATTAAGAAAAATTATTGATGAGAAATGAAATACTTAGGAATAATTTCTAAAAATTATTTAAAAGGTGTAGGACTCTAAGAGCAATTAGGCAAGAAAAAGGGGAAAAAGGAATCCAATTTGGAAAAGAAAAGGTAAATCTATCACTATTTGCAGATGACATGATAATATACATACAAAATGCTAAATAACCCACTAAAAATGATTAGGAACAATACATCAGTGAAGATACAGGCTATGAAATCCATATAAAAGAATTTGTTACATTCCTATACTCAAACAACAAACTAGAAAGAAATTGAGAAAACAATGCTAATTAAAACTACATCAAAAAAGAATTAAGTACTTAGGAATAAACTTAACAAAGGAGGTGAAACGTCTGTATAGCAAAACTATAAGACATTGATAAAAGAAATAAAATACACAAAGAAGTGGAAAGATAACCCAGGCTTATGATTGGAAAAATTAACATTGTCATATGGCCCCACCTTAGCCTCTCCCATAAGGCTGCCGCCCCTGAAAACCTCGTTGGAACTTCTAGAGAGACTGAGCCAGAAGCACCCAGCTGAGCCACTTCCAGATTCCTGATGCACAAAAAATGTGAGTTAAGAAATCTTTGTTCTTCATAGAACTTCAGTTGCTTTAAGCCACTGCAAGTTTGGGGGTAATTCATTCTATGGTAATAACTTATATCCTTAATCCCCAGGATCACTTGGGTGTTGTGTAATTCCAGAGCTCAAGGTGCTGAGTTGCTCACCTGGAAACAACAGCTTCTCTGAAAGTACTTAACCAAGCTGTGCTGTTATCCCTGGCTCCATTATAAACCAAACCCCATCTCCATACCACCCAGCCAAGCAACCCCAACTTCACGCTAAATGCATAATTTACTATAAATTGAACTTAATGGGACTAGAGTAATTATGTTGACTTTTCAAAATACTTTCAGATAAATACATAATTAAGTATTTCAGAATATAATCCTTCTCTAGTGTGTTTCCCAAGGGAGAGAGGAGGGGGAGGTGGAAGTTAGAGAGATGGCACAGAAGGAGGTAGGTGGGAGGCTTTAGAAACACATTTAAGTGTGTCTGAGTGTGTCTAAGACACACTGTGATCCCAGTGGGGAGTGGGACCCAGGCTGACATTTCAGGAGGGTGATTTCACTATACATGTGAAAAGCCTTTAAAAATTCCCATACCTTTGACCCATTGAGACCAGAAATTAGTTGAGGAAATTGAATCAGAGATGGAGACAAAAATCTGTGTGCGGGGTTCGTCACCCCAGCATCACTTAAAAAGATCAAATGCTGGGAACCATCTAAATACCTAATAATGGCAAATTTGTTAAATCAATTATGGATGAAAAGTAATTATGATGAGATATTGTACATCCATTAAAATGAAATCTTTGAAATTAAAGTATGTTGGCATATGCTTATAAATGAAGAGCTAGGAAAACAGAGCATCTAAAACAATGCAAAATATACTCCATCTTTTATTTATATCCACATGGGACTAATAAAACCTAGGAGGTTGCTCGCAAAAATACCAACACTTGTTATCTCTGGTGGGGCGATTAAGGGGATTTTCATTTTTATTTCTATTTTTTATGCTTTCCAAGTTTCTATAATGGACATCTACTACTATATTGTTTTAACATTTTTAAACGAATGTAGGTAAGAAAGACTCTTCCTTTTGTTCCATGAGAGGGCTTCTTGAATTAAACTTTGGGGTTGAGCTCTGATCTCAGCATCACTTGATCCATATTCAAGTATCCTTTGTGAAGTGAAAGTGGCTCCCTTGTTGACCTTAATCATGTTCTAAATTCTAAAAGAATTCTGAAAGAGTTTAGAACAATGGCCCCAATTTCTAGTCCACATGACAGTCCTGAGGCCAGAGGGTAGTTCTCGTGCCCACTTGAGCATCTCTTCAACAACTGCTTGTGTGAGTGGCCCCCTGTGTCCCTGCCCAAAGTTTTCTCATTTGTGAAATGAGGGATTGGTAATAACCACTATGATGGGCTGTTGGTAATAACTACTATGATGGGCTGTCACAGGAGTATTAAAAAGATAACAATACAATAGAATACATCAGTGCATGTTATATTTGAAACGTATGTTAAAATGTAATCTTCCTGGTAAGACATAATTTACTAAAAATGACTAAAAAGAAACAAAACTCTGCCTAGTTCTTTACAAATTTAAGTAAAAAATGAATTAGAAGTTTAAAATTAGAAGCTTGGCATACAGAAAAATGCCAAGTCTGCACAGTCTTACAGATGACTTCCAGTGAACTTTCAGGAAACATATTCTAACGTTCCAGAACTTAGATAAAAAGGGGACAGTTCCTAATGAATTTTGTGAAACTGCTATCATCTTGATACCAACAGTCAGGTGAGGGTATTACAAGAAAGATTACAGTTTATATACTTCTCATGATTGTAGATGGAAGAGTCACAAACACTATTAAGTTACTGAAAAATAATCATGCATCAAGACTGAGTTGAGTTTAGCTCAGGAACTTAAGTATCAATTATCACCAGAAAAATCTATACATGATTTTTCTCATGTTAACAGATTACCCTCAATAAATGCCTCTGGGAAATTTAACACCCATTAAAAAAACAATTTCTAACAAACTAGAAACAGAAGGGATTTTTTTGACCTGATAAAATGCTTCTATCAAAAACCTTTAGCATATGTTGAATGTATCAGAATTTCTTTTAATTCAGGAAAACAAGGCCTGACATTTCCTATTACCACCTCAACTTTCTATTGTGTTAGAGGCCCCAACCTCTCAACCAGAGGCAGCTCAATAAGACAAGGAAATGAAACAAAAAGCTAATGAATAATAAAAAAAGAAACAAAATTTCATTATTCTATGATCCTTTGACTCTATTCACAAAAAATCCAAACAAAATCAACGGACAAATTATTAGAATTAATAAGAAAAACAAAGTGTAAAGATATAATATCGACATGAAAACATCATTTGTATTTCTGTTTATCAGCAACAATTAGAAATCATAGTATAAAAGACACCATGTATAATAATGTGAGACCCCAGAATGTCTAATAAAAATGTTCATGACATTTCTGGAAAAAATCATTGAGGGGTGTTCAGTGTGGAGGGAGATCATATTCATAGATGAAAAGACTTAATGTTGTCGAGATGACAGTTCTTCTTAAATAGTTCTACAGATTTAATGAAATTTGAATCAAAATTCCATGGCATATTTCAAGGAACTTGACAAGCTGATTATAAAATTCATAAGAAAAAGAATAAGGGGAAAAATAGTCCAGACACATTTGAAGAGCAAGGCAGGAGCTGCCATTTTAGATGTTAAGACACGTGGGAGCTGACACCTGCAGCCCTGTCCTTACAGACCCCGGGAAGGGGTGAATAAGCTGCCAGGTTGGTTATCCATGCGGGAAAAGAAAATCAAATGCCTAACTCAGAACGCTACAGTAATCAATCCCAGACGGATGAAGATTTGAATGTCAAGTGCGAAGCTTTAACTGTTTAATAGAAAACATAGACTCTTTTTTTGACCTTGGGTGGAAAGGATTTCTTCACAAAAGTACTAAACATATAAACTGCAAAAGGAGATTTTAAAATTAAACCACAAAAAGAAAAGATTTTAAAATTTGGCTAAATGATAATAAAGACCTTCTGTCACCTGAAGACTGCCAATAAGTTGGAAAGAGTCTCAAAAGGGAGAAGTTGTTTACAGTGGGGAATCTGTCCATGGCTGTTCCCCTAAGTGGACAAGGACTCCTAAAAATCGCTGGGATAGCAACAGACAACTGAAAATTAGATGAAAGGGACAAACAGGCCTCTTCACAGAAAACAGCTGAAGACCAGTAGTCATCTAAAAATATGCTTAGTGCTACTAGTTATCAAGGAAATGAAAATTCTGAACAGTGAGTCTCCTTTACACCCTCTATTCTGGCAAAAAATGTGGAAGCCTGACAAGTCTGGAGGCTCTTCCAGGCGCTGCTGGGAGTGAGAACAGCCACAGCCACGTTCTAAAAACAACCTGGCATGCTGAGTCGATCTGAGGTGCACACACCCCAGGAGTCAGCACACCCCTTCTGGAACGTGTCCCAGAGAAACTCCTGGGCAGGTGCCCTGGGAGATGTGTGCAGGAATGTTTACAGCAGCCTCCCTGACACAAACAAAAAATCCCTTGAAAAATGAAAAGAAACAAGAAGCAGCTCCTGCCGGGAGAGGAGGGTGGCTACGTAGATTGTGACATATTCACGCCATGAAGTACTTTAGCGCGAGGAATGACCACAGGCACACAGGTCTACACAGGCACATCTAGAAACAGCGTGGGGGGAAAAAAATCAAGACACAGAAAATTCCACACAAGATGAGGCCCTTTTTATAAAAGTCCTACACTGGCCAAAATAAGCTATGTCTTATTTGTTGGTATGGACACACATGGTCAAAGACAGGTGGACACAGATCAGCACGTGGTCCCCTCCAGGTGATGGTGCGGCTGCCCGTGGGTGGGGCTCTGGTGTTCTTGGAAACCTACACCCCCAGCTCTGACTCGCTGCAGCTTTATTGTTATGGTTCATGATTTACATATTGGCTATATAGAATATTTACACTAATACAATGTTACCTCATGAAAAGGCTGTGACCTTGAGATTGGATGAAGTGATCATATATGCTGAGCTGCTAGCCTGGGGCCAGCACATACGAGTAATGCAGCTAAGGTTGTCTCTGCTCTTTCTGGAGTCCGCAGGCCATGAGTGGTTGACAGACACACTCTCCTTCAGTCTGCTCAGCAGTCCTGGAATAGTTGCCTCAATTGACAGAGGGAGCAGATACCCAGAGAGGTTAAGTGACCTCCTCAGGCCACATATCTAAGAGCATCTGCGCGGCAAGCCCAGGTCTGTGCAACTCCAGACCAGTCCCTCTGGATCCCCTGACTCTTGCATTGGGCACTCAGTAGATGGCAGGGCTGCTCTGGTCCCCTCTGTTAACTGCAGACGCACCCCCTCCTACTCCCAGCCCCACCCACCAGGTTCCAGGCTTTGCCCTCCCAGAGGCTAGGGATTGAGCCAAAGACCCCCTGGGGGCAGGTGAGGAGAAGCCTCTGAGGCTGTGACCTTGACTTGAGAGAAGGTGGAGAAAGAGGGAAGTGAGGAGAGGGGCCGACCCCTCAGGGGTGGGAGCACAGACACGAAGGCCAGGTCTGCTGGATTCGAGTTCAGCTCTGCATTTACTGCTTGGGTGGCATTCATGGAATCGTAGAAGCCCTCTGTGCCTCGGTTTCCCTGTGTAACATGGAACAAGTCATGATAGTGTTATAGGACAGGGAGAGGGGCAGCCCAAACCCCGCAAACCTGCCTATTCTACATGGGTTCTGCCATCCGCCGCATCAACACAAAACATAGGAGACTTTAATGGGAAGGAACTTTAATAAAACTAGGAAACAATACAGGTGAGGCAAAGAGTCTAGTTTCTAAATGAAGCACCCAAAGTTACCCGTCCCCTCGTGGGTAAAAGTTCATCCAAATGGGATTGGCCCAGAACAAGGCCCCAAAGCCTGCTAAAAGTCTAAAGCATCTTCCAGTGGGGACCCACAGCAAAGGGTCAGAAACAACCGGACAAGCCCGGAAGGAAAAGAGCAAAATCAACATCAAGATAAAAGCTGCCATGGTCACCTCTCCACGGGTCTCACCCACATCTGTGTCACCCAGTCCACGACCAAAAGACAAGCGCAGTTTCTTTACGTGTCTCTAGGCTCCATGCGCCTCCTCCAGGTCTCCTGGCTCCATCCTGCTTCCTTCCTTCTTTAGTCTCCTCTCCTCCTTCTTCTCTTCCTGCTCAGCTCCACCCTCCCTTGGGTGGGGCAGGGAACCTCCCCCTTTCCTGGGGACCACCCTGTTACAATAGCACGTCCCTGTGTTTCCATCAGACCTGTCTCCTCTCTGTCCCCTGGTTACACCATCCAAACTCCCACCTCTGAGCCTTTCTCATGCTGTTCCCTGGTCAGGAATGGCTTTCCCTCTCTCCTACCTTTCCAAATCCTTCCCTTGTTAAGCGTGCTGGGTGGAGAGGACACCTGGCCCTTCTGTCCCACCTCGGTGGTCTTTACCTCCTAGGAAGTGAGGAGGAAGGTGGATTATGGACCAAGGTCCTGATCAGTCATTTCAGGGATTGGACACTTTCTGCCCTGGGGCCAGACGCTGGGACCAGGGACAGTCCGACCCCCCCCCCCCCAGCCCCAGGTTGTCTCAACCCCTCTCTCCTGTTTGGGAGTCACAGAACCCAGAGCCCGCACCTGGCCATCACCCCATGACCTGATCATACTGGGTCCCCTCCAAATGCTGCTCTAGGTCCTGGATGGGCTGAGGCATGTGGG